TTTTTATAAGTAATCAACGAGAACCTGCTCATTAGTGTATTTTAATGAAAATTGATGAATTCGTCTCAGCTTATGTTAAATTTGTAATTTAGAGAATAGTTTACTGTTGCTTACAAGTGATAGTTTTAAAATGTGATTTTGAATAGCACATAAGGAAATAATTTTCTTTTCATTAATTAAAATTCATAATGCCTATTTTAAAATTCGAAAAACTTTGGTAGTGCCTAGATAAGAGCAGAATTTTTGTTCCTTCAATTTAAATGTAAATTAAAAGTTAATTTCTGTCTAACTTCAGCTCAAGAGATTAAAATAGTAGATTTGTTTTTTAGTTTAAATTATAATGAAATATGTTTTTTCCTAAGTTGTATAGCGCGTATATATATTTTTTTAATTTATTGATTCTACTGTCCACATAAATTGAATAGTTAATATTTTTGTGTAACAAATTCCACTTTTTGTAAATGAATGTTCATGCAGAAAAGTTATTTTCTAGAAATGCAATCACCCCCTTTTTTAAAATTTTTGCACACCTATTTATGTATTGTTATATATTAAACCCAAAGATACTGCCGTTAATATTTAGAAGAAACCAAACATAAATAATTAATTTTAGAATTTACTTATGTGTGGTGAAATAAATTGGATTTTATTTTTTGTCACGTATATGATTAAATGATAATCTTAAGTGTTAATAAATGTTCAATGTCTACCAATGTCTGGTCAATAATTTTTACATTAAAGCTAAATAGAAACCTTGTAAAGTTTACTAACATCAATATATTTGCCTTCCTTTGCAGATCATCTAAACATTGCACAATTTAGCTCGACGAGGAAGAACAAACGCAAGTTATTGATAGACAGATATGAGTTCGTAATGGATCGGATGCTAAAGCGCAGCATTAATTGGCGTTGTGCGCGATATCGGAGCGCTCAGTGTAAGGCGCGGGCCACAACACGAAGTCTCGATAATGGCCAGGAGGTGTATCGACTGAAATATTTCAAACACTCGCATGCGTGAGACGACAAAATTTCCAAATTTTCTGCATTTTCAGAGCGAGAATTTGCAAGATAATGCCTAAATATTATATATAGTATAGTATATCTATTCCAAAGTTTCTTTACAAAACGCAGAAGCTATTTTAGAGAGCATTTTACAAAAACAAAACAATATTATTTAAATTAGCTAGAGTTACAAGAATATTACTGTTTATATTTGCTTTTTAAACAAATTGACAAATTGTTAAAACGATAAAAAAAAATGTATAAATTCTTTAATTTTTTGTGAATGTTTTAAATAATTTGTAGATTTTGTAGGAAGAAGAAGAATCACCAAATTTGACTAAAACCCTTTGAGGTTTGTTACGACATCAGAAATAAAAATTGAAAGAAAGTAAAATCATAGACTCTTGTTGGCTTTATAATTGATCTTTTATTTAAGTTAATCGCCCCAATTACGTCACAAATACTAACCAATGGCTTGTTTAACGCTTTTTTTTTTTGCAGAGCTGGCCCGAAAACAGGGAATTATGATTGTGCGCGGCACGAAGGGTAAGCCAAAGTTGCTTATGGGTGGCTTCGAGTATTTTCGAAACAATAGTCGTGGCTCCAAAACCTACTGGCTCTGTGCCCGTAACCGCTACTTACGCTGCGCTGCGCGCATTATTACCTGCTCCAGCACTGGGGAGCTGATTGTGAAGAACCAGCACCACAACCATCCCTCAAGGGTCAAGACGGAACCGAAGGAGCAGCCGGTGGACAGCGAAAAATAGTTGTGACGTAAAAAACCAAAGCATACGATACAGAAATCAACTTCCAATAGAGCCATTTTTGTAGTAAATAAAAAGTAATTAAGTCAGAGATCATCCATCACCCATAATTTCTATCTTAAGCGCTTTTCTATTTTTAAGTTCTGGAGCCTTCATAAGTGTATATAAAAAATTTACAGAGAATTTCTAAGAAAAAGGTATTTAATTGTTCCAGCATAATGGGTAAGATATATTAATAATTTAATTGATTTTATAACATTTTGGGTATGAAAACATACTCTAATCAATTCATACTATCATTCTAAATTACAAAAAAAAATTAAAATATTTTGTTTAATCTGTAAGATACAATTATGTATTTCATGTTTTTAGTATACGGGTAAGATATGTATATTTTCATATCATTCGCTCAAAAAAGTAATTCTACATTATGTTTAACAATTCTTTATTTTTATAAATTCACTTTGCTGTCATATTATTAAATTCCTTTTAGCACAATGGATAAGATATATGTATTTATGTTCTGTACTCTAAGGTTGAAAGGGTATGCTGAAAATTATGTAACTAGCAGGTGTAGCAGACACCCTGTATATGAGTAGCATGACGACTCGAATCGATGTAGCCATGTCTGCCTTTCCGTCTGTATGAACGACGATCATTTTTATACTCTGTACCCAAAGGGTACAAGGGTATATTAGTTTTGTGCGAGTGCACATGGAACACACAGAAGGAGGCTTGGTAGACCCCACAAAGTATATATATTCTTGATCAGCATGACAAGCCGAGTCGATATAGCCATGTCCGTCTGTCCGCCTGTCTGTCTGTATGAACGCAAGGATCTCAGAAAGTATAAGAGCTAGAATAACCAAACTTGGTATACAGATTCTCCCGAGAAAGGACGAGTTTGTTCATTTTTTCTGATCCACCCCCCACTCCCCCCCCCCCCCTATTAACGATTTTTTATAACTACCGTAATTCTTGGAATTTTGAACTAAAATTAATTTAGTTAATTAAATTAATTAATTAATTAAATTTCTTTTTTGTGGGGTGGTACAGGGTATTTAAGAGTTGAGCCTGCTTGACTTTAGCATTCCTTTCTTGTTAAAGCAAAACAGCTAGTCACACCAAACTTTGTCTTATCCATACGCAAAGCAAGTTTATTACCACATATATCTAATATAAAGAAAATACAAGTAAATAACTCTATCTACTTAGGATACATTTTTTAATTATTAAAATGTCTCCAAAATTGGTTGACCGTATTATATAGCTGATAGATAATAGATCAGTAGTACTATAAGCAATCTTATAGTACCAACCACCTTTTCTGTTATTAGGTAAACGTAAATAAGAATCATAATAATCTGAAGTTACTTGTATATATCTCAGTCAGTCAACTAGGAGGGAAACGTGTGGATATGACGTTAACGTTGTACAGTGAAAACTGTCTTGGCTGGACAAGTGGAGTGTTCGCTTAAGAGGATATTTAAACTTTACTTTATACACCGATCGAATGTTTTAGAAAAAGTGTCCTGATATTGCTGATATTTGCTTGGGTGTTTTTAGATGTAAGTATACCTTACAAAAAATAAATTTTGAATATGGCAATATTAAGGAAACTTTCTTAGGAGATGATTATGAACTTTCAAACGTATTTGAAGCAGCATATATTAAAGCGAATAAAATCTAAAATTATTTAATTTTAAATTTCGATAGATTGAATAGTTTTCAAAAGATTCTATTAAAATTGGAGTTAACTTAACTTAACTAACTGTTAACTTTTTAAATTCCATAAAATCTAAAATGATTTTAATTTAAATTTCGATACATTGACAGTACTATTTAAGAGAGTTAGGCCTGCTTATCTCTGGCATTCCATTCTGGAATTGAAGCATTTTATTGAAAACCATAAACCTGACAAATAGTCACGGAAACGTATCGCATATGGGTCCCACTACTTATAAGTATATTTTGCCTTTCTTCATAAATTGCCTTTCGGCTGACACAATCGTCTTTTTCATAAACAAACTCTTGCAGATGAATGTGTTGAGAATTATGTTCAGCTTATTTGTAAATAATGCGTTTCAGTGAAACGATCGCATTAAGTAAATGAACGGAGCTTTTGCTTCTGGCTTTGTCTCGCCATTGTTCTGCTCCGCACACAACCGACACACAACTCGTAAATTGATACAAACACTTGACTGCTAAATTCTTGTGTAAACTCTGGGAGGTTTTGTTTATACAATTACTTTGCAAGTCAAAGAACAAAGTGTCAACACACAACAGAGGCTGATTCAGGTTTTAAGTCACTTGAATTGTGCCTCAAAAATTCCCAGAACACATATGTATGATTACCAACAAGTATTGCATATACTATAGTATTTTATGTCTAGATGCATGAATAAGACTGCGTTGCGCCAAAGTCGTCGTATTCGTGACTAAGAGTGGTGGCAAGATAATGGCTTGATAAGAGGTAATAACGTTCGGGGGCTACTAGTAGTTGCTTTTACGACGTTAGAGCCATAAAAACAGGTGCCGGAGAAACAAACTAAGGTTTGATGTTGAATAGAAAAAACAACTGTGCATATTCATTTATCATATTGCTCATATAGTTATTATTATAGTGCAATCTCTATGGATCGGAAATGTGCTTGTTTGGATATCCATTTTATTCTAATTGTGGATTAATCATCAAAAACTAATATTTGTCATTCCTGATACCGTCATTTTGTTTATTTTGATTCAACTTCCGCTTTTGATCCGTTTATTAAAAATATTGCATTACGAATCTTTATTTTAAATATACTCTGCATATTTAACATAACATAATTTTAAACTAAATTCAAAATTCTTATTATTTAAATTATTGACAAATACTGTATTATATTCATTGAAACTTAAAATATTTTGCTTTAAATACAATATTTACGTATTTCGAATTTAAAAGCAATTTGTGCGCCAAAGTACAAATTATTTTGTGTTGGCAGTGCCTTTCGGCCGTTACTTGTGGAGCCTCGAATGTTTAAAAAGCGAAAAATGTAAATCAAAGCTACGTGTGCTATCAAAAATTGACCTTTTCTTCATCTGAATGTAAATTATTATAAAATTCGTTTTACCTTTGCACTCAATTGTTTAATTAAGTTCTGTCATTAATACAAATTTGATCACAATAGTGACTTGTGACCAACGGAAAAGTAACAGTTACATGCTGTCTTTCATCCCTATCAGTCATTGAATTCAGTCCGTGGTGGTAGGTGTGCGTTGTTGGTGCGCCTCTGTGAAATAAGAAAATATATCTGTGTATTGCAGCAGAAGTTTTGCTGCGCTGCCTACAAACAGTTCGTGTAAGTTTAACGACGGCAAAGAAAATTCAATAAAAACAAAGCAAATAGCCAACGATATGAATTAAAAACGAAAAAAAAATTGTGATTGCTTGTGCAACAAAGAACATAAAGTTCAAGGTTTTCTTTCAAGCCATCGTTCAAAACTGCAAAGAAGTTTTCAATTGGAAAGGAAAACTGTGCAATTTTTGTATACCCTTAAAACCCCGCTGCGTCGCGTGTGTGCAAGTGTGTGTGTGTGTGTGATTGATTGTGAGTGGCTGCTGCTGACCGACCAACACCAATTTGTTAAATTAAAAGCAATTATTCAATTAATAAATGTGCATTGTGGGCACACAAAAAATGGAAATGACAACGACAAAAGAAAAGTACAATATATACTTTGTCTCGATATCTGTTGAAAAATATCTAAACCCAATTACTCAGTTTGCTCTCAGTTTAATTCGATTGACACAGCAGCAGCAGGCAGGCTGGCTGGCTGGTTGGCAGCAGCAGCAGAGTAGACGCAGAGTAGCGGCGCAGTCGAAGCGTATGCGCGAGCGCAAGCAGAAGCAGCCCCAAATATACAAGTCGCGTAATCTAGCCAGCAAAACAGCCAAACAGGCAGCAAGTCAGGCAGCCAGCCAGTCGGCCAGGCTAGTCAGCCAGCGTCAGCGGGAGCCAAGCGCCAAACGGTGGTGGAGACATAGACATACATACAACAACAACAGCAACAACACTATAACAAAAAAGCATTTCTCAGTAGCAACTTTGGCTCAGCAGCAGCAGTTCAGCTCAGCTCCACACTCTGCTGCTCGTCTCTGCTTTTGCGCAGTCCGAAGCAGTGCGTGTGAATTCGCCGCACCGTCATTGTGTTTGCAGGTAGAGATGTGCATGGGCCGTGTTTTTCTACGTGACCCATCGTGATGAATACACGAGTGTTTGTGTTTCATATTCCGGTGTCATGAGTGACGAAAAAAGGCACAAAAAGTTTCGAACATATGACGAACCAAAAAGACTAAATTTGGTAAAGTTCCATTAATTGTTCGATGATATCATCAAATATTTCATAAAATTTCAACCATTTGTTGACATGATTTTGTTGTTTGATAAAAAGGTATGTGCTATTTTTAAAAAACCGATGCTAGATGGAATGAATCTTGATAATAGTGCTGGCTTATATTTAAAAGTTAAAAATACTTTTAAATATATTTTCTTGAAACAAATAATACTAAATTTTAAATAAAAAAGAGAGAATGCGATAGATGGTTTCATGTTCTCTTGTACTTAAAGAAAACCTATTTTAATTGAAGGCATGAATGGAGGCATACACCACCTAGAATTTATTTATATTCGGTCCCTCGGTACCTTTGATCGTTGCTCAATTTTTATAAACTTCTCAAACAGTGATGCCGCTATTATTTTATATAAAAAGCAGCGTATTTAAAAATATTAAAAAGTGAAAATGATAGAAACTTTTCGGTGTTGCCTCTTCTGCTCATAAATCTTTTTCAAAAACATTATTCCGTGTTTTGTGAAAAAAGCCGGCCCTTGCCCATCTCTAGCTTGCAGGCAGAGTCTGTCGCTCATTCTCGGGTCTCTGTCTCTGTGTCGGTTTGTTCGGAAACACCTTGCTCCAATATTTTTGCTGCTGCTGCTGCGCCGCCCCTGCCCCCAGTGCGCAGCCCACGACGACGACGGCTACGACGACAGCGACAACGACGATGGCGATGGCTATGGCGGCGACTACATACTAAGCTCTTCAGTAGTCCACAGTCGTCGCAGCCGCAGTCTCAGTTTCGGGTTTGTGCGCGTATTGCGATTCTTCTTCAGCTGCTGCGCTGCAAGAAAAGTCAGTGAAAAAAATATCGGCTTACAAAAAAATGAAACTATTTTGGCAATAGCAACAATAACAACCAAAAGTAATTGCAAATTTTGATTGTGATGCCGTTTGGCGTTTTGCACGCGATTTGTTTGCATTTTTTGGATACTGCTGGCATTGTTGCTGCATTTTCATCATCATTGCCAACAACAACAAGAACAAATAGCTCCGTCGTCGTCGCCGTCGTCGTCGTAGCCGTCGTCGTCGTGCGCGGCCACAGCATCGCCAGTCATTTTAACTCGCCATGTACAACAAAAGCAACAGCACTAGCAAGAACAACAACAGCAATAACAGCAGCAACAACAACAATAATCACGACAACGACGCCAACATAGAACAGGTTTGTCGCTTTGACTTTTCCTCTGCCACTGCCACTGCCACAGCCACGGATGGTTGGATGTTGAATGTTGGATGCCAGCTACTCGTTGTTCGCTGTGGCTCGTTCGCTTATTCATAACTTTTTGGTTATAGATTTTTTGTCACCCCTTCCACGCCCCACAACACCCCATCCCAGCCCCAACCCGATATACCTATATGCATGTTTCAACTGTTTCAGTTTTTCAATTATTAATGGCGGCCATTAGTGCGCGCGCCGCCCGTTCAACAAACGTTCCACCCCCACCACCACCCCCGCCATGTTACCGTTACCGTCTCCATCTCCGTTCTATGTTTCATGCCCATGTTCGCCGTCGTGTCGTATGTCGTGTAGAGTTTTTCTTATCGGACAAATTGTATTTGTCTGAAAAGTTCAATGAGGTGCGCTCCATGTGTCCATTTGTCTGTCCTCTGTCTGTCCGGCGGTTGCAGCAATTGCAGTCAGTCGTCATATTTATACTATCGCCATCGATATAGATAAAATCATTGTGTACACACATCTACATACACGTATGTATATAGTGTGTGTGTGGGTTCCTAGATAGCGCGCCTCGTACCCGCACCCCAATCCCCACCCCCATCCGTAGTGTAAATCGGAAGTGCCTTTCATTGCGAGAGTTGGGAAACGTACATACAAGTATATTCCCAGTTCCTTTTCGTATGCCCGTTGACTAATTGGCTGTGGTTGTTACTGTTTCTACTCCCTTGTGTCTTGTGCCTTGTGCCTGCCCCGGCCATGAGGGCAACTGTCTGCGTTGCGTGTTCCCTACAACTGATCCCTAAGTGCTGGCATTTGCCTTCAGCAATAATGTGCGGTGGTGGCTATTATCATAAACAGTTTGGCTTTGGTCACTTTTTCCCTCTATTTGACTTAATTGCTTGACTTTGTCATAGGTGGGAGAGGAAATGGTCAAGTCATCTAAGTGATAAGCAGTGCCATTTAAAAATTTCGACTTTGCTTCCACCAATACCGAAAATAGATTGAGGACAAAACAGAAAATAAAATGCGTCTTATTTTCAAAAATATGTTAAATGCAGCTTGCTTTGTACTTTTGTGACGCAAGAATATCATCTAGAGATAAGTCTAATTTTCGTTTAGAACTGCTTGGGAAACTACAAACAAATTTTGTCTTTTATTATTCAATTGAGAAAGCCGTTGGGAACTTGAACTAAATGTATATTAGAATCAGCAAGATTTGTTTAAACGCCATAAAAAGGTTTGAAACGGTCAATATTAACAAAAAGATGCTTGTAACTTGATTTAAGAAACTTTTCTCTCCGCCAAAAATTGTGTTCAACGCTTATTTCCAACACTATTTATACAGTAGAGTCAGCAAAAATTAATTCAAATTACAGATTAAAATTGTTATGGCTAATATTATCAATACAATTAAATAAGATGTAGATTCAAGTCCGTTTTTCTTCTTTCTACCAAATCTCGATAAAAATCTAGATATTGCATCAAAAAGTTAGAAATTTTACGATGATAAGAGAGCTTTATTTATTTATCTTATACATTATCAATGATTAATCATCATTTTAAAAAAAAAAAGCATATATCAGATATTCAAATTGCTTCTAAATGCACATTTTTATTGCATTTTCTGTGCGGAGATAAGCGCAAATCGCTTATCGTAGCGAATATCAAATAAAAATATCAAGAAATCAGAGTTCGAATCAATAGGATAGAATATTAAAGGTATTCTTGTGCATTTTAAAGCTTTCAAGCTTTTAAAATCTCCATATAAGAGTATACTTGTATTTATATGTTATTGAATTGAAATTTGTGAGACAAGGGCGGAAAACAGATTGTTCGTAACTCAGGCTTCATTTGCGATGAAAAAGAATAGCCAATAAGATTTGAGACGATTTTCATGTCAATATCAGAATCGAAGACACTTAACTTCTTAATTTTGTTTTTGTTCTCAAACTGAAAAAATAAATTTCTATACAAGCCAGCTGGACATAGAAATATTTGTGATAAAATTCGGTTTGTAGAATTAAAATGGAAAAGAACTTACATTTTATAAAGTTGTTCAAAACAGTGCACTTTACAAACTTACAGAAATAAGCGTGTATCTAAAAACATCTTAACCTACCCAAGTAATTCAATACCGTCTCAAAAAATGAATCTAAAAAAAAACAAGAGAGAACGCTACAGTCGAGCAAGCCCGACAGTGTAATACCCTGTACCCAGGTAAACTTCCGTCACTGAGTTATATGCGCCCAAAGCAGCAACAAAAAGAGGAAGAAGAAGAGCGAACTTGTTGCTGCAGTTTGTTGGGGTTGTACTGGCGAGAATTTGTTTCGCTAATAACTTTTCTTAGAATTGACCGAATTGAATAAAATTATGAACAACAGTAGACAATTATATATAAATTAAGTGTGCGAAGTTTGGTTTAGGTAGCATTTGAAATGTGGACGCTATTGACGAAATTCTGTAGCGGGGGAAGGGGGGGAAAATTAAAAAAAATAAAATAAACTCGTCCTTTCTCGGACCTAGGAGAATCTGGATGCCAACTTTGGTTATTCTAGCTTTTATAGTTTCTGAGATCCTTGCGTTCATCCAGACGGACGGACAGACGGACGGACGGACAGACGGACAGACGGACGGACGGACGGACATGTCTAGATCGATTTCTCTCGTCATGCTGATTCAGAATATATATACTTTATGGGGTCGGAGATGCTTCCTTCTGCATGTTACATACTTTGCACAAACCTAATATACCCTTTTTACCCTACGGGTACAGGGTATAAAAAAATA